ATATTTTTCATATTTTGTATGGCTATTTAAGCATGTATATGTATGTAGAGATATTTAATAAGGTTGAAGACTAAGTTTTAAGACAATCGGAGTGAAAATTATGAGATTCGGATAACTAGAATCCCTTAAAAGATGAGTTTTTTCCTCACAAGGAAAAGTTGAGTTTTTAGACCCGAGAATGCTTCTCGAGGCTAGAAAGACCTATAAAAGGTAAGTAAAATGCTTTTAAAAATTAAAAAAAATAATTAAATGAAGAATTAGGGGAAAATCTCTCAACTAAGAGAAAAAATCCCTAAAGGAGCTCTTTTTTACTGTTTTATATTAATTTGTATCTCGAGACTAAAGTACTTGAAAATTTAAGACTTATATTTGGCTGAGTGTGTGAAAAACGATATTAAAGAAAAAAAGTGTGAAAAAAAATGTCCTTAGAAGAAACTTTGAGAGAAATGAAGCCAAACCCAATAAAGCATGCACTTGGAAGACAATTTTGCGCTTTTAGGATTATTTAGGCCATAAGTGGGCCAAATGGATTCAGATGAACTCCAAACCAAAACCATGTGATAATTGCCTACTTGAAGAGCATGTGAAGTATAAGTTCACCCAAAAAGATTAAGAATTGAGTAAGTTATAGAGTTTTGAAGTAAGCATTTGGGCATGGGCCTAACTTTGAGTGTGGTTTGGACCTTTTAAGACTTAGGTTGATTTTAGATGGGTTAAATTTAGTTGTTTTGAGCCCAAATTAGATTAATAAGTAGCTAAAACTAGGCCGAGCAAGTGAAGATAAAATGGGCCAAAAACTCATAAGAATCAAGTAAGTTATGGTTATTTTAAGTGAAGGCATATGCATAGAGTGCAGTTTTGAGCCTTATGGGTTTAAGTGGGCCTAAGGCGGCCTAAAACATATCAAATAGAGCCCAAATTTGGTATAAAAGCTCCTGAAATATGGATAAGATGTGGAAAGAGTGTGGATAAGATTAGAATATTCTAAAATTACTTAAAGGCTAAGGAAATAAAAAAATAAGGATAAGGATTAAGGTTGAGGAGGTTTAAGTGGCCGATCATATTTTACTATATCTCCCATACTTATCAACTTATATGGACGTCCCTCCCTATTAATAGGGATATGGGAAGAAGGGAAAAACATTGTGGAGTTGAGAAAAAATAAGGTTAGAGAGAGAAATAAGAGAGAGAAAGAAAAGAGGAAAAGGGAAGAACCCAATAAAAGTGAGGAAAATTAATGGAATTTGGGAGTTTTTCCTTGAGAAAACTTTACCCAAATTATGAGAAGAAAAGAGAGGAAGGAAGAAGAAAAGGAAAAAAATAAAGAAAGAAAATAAAAGGAGAGTGAAAATTCACAACCAACTAAGGGAGAACCCACGAGCTTAAGATAGTGCTTAAAAACATCCTAGAACGTTGTCAGACTTTCGAGAGAAAAAGCTTACAAATTAAGCTGAGACTTTACCAAAGTTAAAACAGCATGTCCTATAAGGAAATTGATGAAAATATAAAAGAAGATTATGCTCGAGTGAAAAGAGAAAATTGAAGTATTTTTAAGGAAGACTCTGATGGAGTGACTAGAGAAACTGAAGAAAATATAAGAGGGGGCTCTGCCATAATAGAGAAAGCTTAAATTGATTGCATCGAACTCGAGGTAAGTGGATATTGTGATTACATGACCTATGTAGTTTTCAAGTATGTTTCAGTATCTTATACGTATTTTCGTATATAAATAGTAAGTGTTTGTGAAAGTGCTATTATGTTTTAAGTGTTATTTTTTCATATGTTTTTGAAAATTATTTTTATGAGTTTGCATCAATCGTTATCAAGATGAGCCATTCCAAAAGCACCTGCATAATGCTAGGTTTTAGTGTGCCCCTACATAACTGTTCCATTTTCAAGTGTAATGAGAAAGTGATAAGTGTGAACCCATACATAACTGTTCTGTTTTTGGG